TTCTCGGCGGGGCTTCTCACTCTCCCGTTTGTTGATCTTGTCTTTAACCCTCGCGCACACGTCCGCGTATCTTCCTATAGACGTAGACCGGCAATCCCTCCGGAGCTACGGGTTGCGATTATGGAGTCGACGGGAATGGATTTGCTAGGCCCAGATGAAAAGCTGCCGGCAAAGTGATCGAGCTTCCTCGTGATCTCGTGGGTCGAGTTTCCATCCACAGAAAGATCTCTCGCGGCTTGACGGATTTCGAAAAATAGCTTCCGTCGCTTCTCTCGGACGCGCGTATTCCGCGCCGATAATGTCGCATGTTGACTTTGCGGAATGGCGTGCAATTTTACGGACGTAATTGTATTAACCCCGCGGGGTCGAGCGCGGTCCGGCATGGTTTTCAGCTGTACGTGCAGAATGTATGATAGTTTTCAACACATAACTAGGAAGAATTAAGCAGTCGCCGGCGACGTCGGAGTAAGCGATTAACGGTTTTTACTACAAGACACGAATTACATTTTCACCGCGTTTACCTCGGAATGCTATTTGCCCTCTCCTCTCTCTCTCTCTCTCTCTCTCTCTCTCTCTCTCTCTCTCTCTGTAAAATATATAAAGGCGTTCGATGAACATTCAGCTTTGTGCAGTTTTTTTTCCACGAGACGAAGGTTCCTCCGCTTTTCCACTTTGGTAGAGAAAACGAGTAAAATTCGCCGGCATGTTAATGAGTTCGCTCGCCGTCGGCGTTTTAATTTAATATTAGCTGTTTCCCCCTCGATTTTTGCATTAGCCCCTCGTCTCTTTGCATCGTAGCTTAATTTTGTTTCCTGAAATACAACGGGGATAATCTTAAGGTGTGTAGAAATTAATCGCACATGCATGCGCGTGCTCGCGTACGGCACAGGGCTCCCTTTTGCAGACATTCGATAATTGCTGCGCTTGCTTTTTAAGCGGGATAAACGCGATCGAGAGATTCCCCTTCGTGAAACCACCGTTATATCCTCGAGTTAAATCTTTAATCAAAGTCGCAAAGACGAGGCGGCGGCAGCAGCGGCGTCGTCGTCTTCTTCTTCTTCTTCTTCTTCTTTTCCGCCGAAGCCCATATTCACGAAGGGAGATTCAAAGCTTCGTTTCTTCGAGGCTTTCCGTGAGCTCGAAGGAAATGGGTTTACTAACCCACGCAGGCAAGATGTCTGCAGCGACTCAATACAAGCTTCGTATATATTATATATATATATATATATATATGTATACACACGCGTGTGTACGAAATGATCGCATACAACGGTCTTCGTAACGTCGTATGCTACGCTTCAACATTTCATTACGCCATCGATTTCGGTGCAACATTGTGTACTTTCTCGCACGTACACCGCGAGATACGGAGATCTATCGGGAGATGCTGATAACATCAGATATCACTTGTTGCTACTATGAAAACTGTAACTTTAAAAATCGAACGAAATATCGTTGATTGATTAATGTGGAGAACGAGGGTGAAATGAAGAAAAGTTTTTGGATCACTCGTTTCGCTAAAATGTCAACTACATTTAGGATTCTACGTGTTGGCCAGATTATAAGCTTTGTGTATGTTCGTCATAATGTTGTTATTTTAGGCTGAGAAAAAACAAACAGTCCCATATCTCTCTATCCTCCTCTCTATCTCTCTCTACCTCTCTGTCTTTCGTCATATTTATTATATAAATGACGCCGAACGCGTAATATCTTCATTTAATCTGAATGCACCACAAAAAACAGCGTATGAATTAATTAAATTCGAAAGCTGTCATTCTCGGTGGAAGATGCAATGATATTTCATCATGATTTGAATATTTCATCAAGACCGTACTGAAATATTAAAGCACGTCAACACTGAGTATTAATTATAATCTGCAATGATTATCAATTAAATATAAGATTTACCGTGTGTTTAAATATTATATTTACCGCGACAATGCAAATGTCTCATTAATGTTCGATGATTTGACTCGAACTATCATCATCGTGTTTATCGAGAGTAGAGCGCAGAGCGATATTAAATTAAAAGAAAGATTAAAACAGGACTATTTACTGCGAAGCGATAAAATAAAAGTAACAAATAGATTCGAGTCGATTGTGCGAAAAATATCCTTTATTGGTCGTTCTTTTTTTCATGAAATGCTCGGAGAACTGAAACTCTCGCACTTCTCATAGACGTGTAATCGTTCTTTGTTGACACGGATTACTAAAATGTATAAGAAAGAAGTTAAAATTTATAAGAAGGAATAATGATAATAATAATTTTTTTATCGTGATTATTTTTGCAAGGTAATACGTTTTTTTTCAAAGTGGAAAAGAAAAAGGAGAAGAAAATATTCAAAAATTGCGAATGTGCATACATTGCATAGAAGAAAAAAAAAGTGCTAGATTAAAGTATTAATACTCCCTTGCAATTTTTTATTTGGATTAAGTAAATTTTATCTGAGTCAAGTATATATATTTTATTTAGATAATTTACTTGGATGAAGTAAATATTTCAAGCTAAAACTTACTAAGAAGTACTGAAATAATTATTTACTTGAATCTAGCACTTTTTTCCTGTGTAGTTTCAAAGCGTTGCGCATCATGTGACTGTGCAACTATGACTACCATCATTGGTCGCGATAACGACGGTCGCACTTTTTTTTCTTGCTACCCCTTTTTCCTCCCTCTTCGTGTCCAGTTTTACGGACGAACTTTAAAGATAAAGCGAAGGACAGAATGAGGGAGAGTAGAAAAGAGAGAGAGAGAGAGAGAGAGAGAGAGAGAGAGAGAGAGGGAAGAAGCGTTCATCGTTCAGAGTTTAATTACTCAAAGCTTTGAATAAATTAAGACTGCGTGCTTCACGTGAAAAGACACAGCTCTTAAAGCTAGTTCGCGGTATCTTCGCGGCTTCTGGGGACTCCCTCCCCGTTTCGAGTTCACCCGACCGTCCGACGTACCGGAAACTTCCCCGCATCATTCACGATCGAGGACAAGGAAAGTTCGTTTCGTTGCGGAAAAGCGTGCCAAAAACTCCGCGACGCGCGTCGTGCATCGAGCGCTGTAACCCGTGATCGACAAGCCGCGACAAACGAGCTCGACTTTTCCATTATTCTTACTCGTTTCGACGCGCATAAATGTGTCAGTATTCCACGAGGAAATTTTTACCGTTTCAGACGTATCGATTCGTTCGGTTTGCCGCGATCATTTACCTAATCGAGACGCGCACTGCCTATTGTGGGATATTGACGAATAAGAATCAGGTTACTTCTATAATTTCGCATTGCACGATATATTGAACAAAGTTTTATCAAATATTACAATGTTACAACCGTTATGAAATCTTTTAATTAACTTGCGCGATGAAGATTTTTATACGTGTATATTGTGCAGAGGAAAGAATTTCTGCTATATTCATTATGTTGACGCCGAGGAGTCTTTCACAGAGAGGTAGGAGATGTTCATTACAACTTATATGAGAAATTTAGCGAAGCTATTTCCATTTTAATTTACTCTCCTTAACTTATCTTTATTGCATTACACAGTGTGAAATTTGATATAAAACTGGAGACGAGAATTCTCTTACAAAGTAATATTTATAATATAATAATATCTCAAGGTCCATGCGTGCAAACTCGTTTTTACGTCGCGATCTGTGCGCGCGCGCGCGCGTATGGCGTCGCGCGGTCTCTTAATCGAAATTAATATATCCCGCGAGGAGAGGTTAAAGGAAAAGGTGTAGGTCACCATCGTCCCTGCGAAGATCCTGCTCATTAATTTTACACAGTTTTTCTTACGAGCTTTCACGAGCTGAGATTTCCACAAGAGCCGAGATGAGTTTGAGATATGGCCAAAATGAAACGCGTCTTTCTCTCTCGGTGTGGCACCGCACGATAAAAATTATATCACATAATTCGAACCGTCGAATACGGAATTTCGCGCCTTGATGCCGGCACGCTCGGAAAATGATGTGAAATCGGCGTACAGAAAATGCGCTCGTGCACTTATCTATCTTTGCCTTTTTCGCTTTATTCGCCGAAAAAGAAAGAAATAGGACAATGAGAGAAGAGGAGAGGAGGGGGGGGGAGCGGGGTAAGGAGCGAGAATACGCGTTATACGCGCGTGCTCTTTTACCTGGTGAGGTCGAAGTATGCTCGTTATTAAAGCGGTACACCCGGCTCGACGACGCACTCGAGCGTCGACGATGGCCCGTAACTCAGCGACGATCTTTTCGTCGAAATCGCGGGGAGGCAGCCACGGTGAAATTCCCCGTCCGCGCGCGTTGCCGCTGTGTGTCAGTTGACATAGTGTTTTAAATTAAAATCGCTGTCGCTGTTTTATCGCGACGCGGAGGGCGAGAGATTTTTATCAAAAATACGAGGCGGCTGTGCGAGGGAACAAAATGCGTCGTCCGTGCGACGCGACTCGGCGTGGCCGTTGCTTGTTTCAGTGAAACGTGAGTTTTCTTTCGTAACCCGGGTCCACGCCGCCGCGCCGTCCGGGTCGTTATTTCGTGCCTCGTTTCAAGGATGAAGAAAAAGAAAGAACAGAAAAAAGGTGGAAAAAAGGAAGAAGTCAAGTGACTCGCGCAAAAACGAGCCGCTTGCCGTTTCGCGGAGAGGAAGAGAGCGACAGAAAAAAAAGGGAGAAAAGGGAGGAAGTTCGCAACGAGTTGGCGGCACCGCTTTTTCGTATCTTTACGGCCACGCCATGGGGTCGGCAATCGAATTTAGGGGTAGAAAGCGAACGTGCGAGAGGTCGCGCCCGAGAATCGGCCGTCCGACGACCCTCCGTGGAGGGGGTGGCGGCGGAAAAACGCGAGGGGACGATTTTCTCTTAGCGTAGGCTGGATTTTCCTGACCACCCTGTATAAGCGCACCGTGCGGTATATAGGAAGCGACGTGCCGCACGCACACAGGCCGAGGGGGACAGAATGTAGAGCATGCGCCCAAGCGGCCACGAGTGCACGACGGTCGCTCTTAGATTCAGTTTAACCCCCGGCGTCAGCAGGGGTAGAACGCGTCTCGGCGCCGTCCAGCAACGTGGGTTACAGCCGTTGAGCGTACGTGCGTCCTCCAACGGAGATATCCTTTCTCTCTTCGTCGTCGACACGATCGTTGTCGTCGGAGAACCCGCGAGTGAAACGAGTCAATGACGAGTGAGACGCGATATCCGAGCAGTTGCCGCGCGCTCGGACGAACAGTCGACGCCGTGAGAGCCTAGGACGAGACTGTGTGTGTGAGAGAGAGATAAATCGTGCGGGTGCCAACGTCGGACGTTCTATGTCGTCGTTGTCGCCCTGTAACGACGGAAATTCGCGGGCGAGCGGTTCCAGCCGGCCGGCGTCCTGATGAGACAGAGAGCATCGGCGTGAGATAAAAAGGCCGTCGCTTGGTCTGCGGTGGTGCTGCTGGTGTTTGGTGGATAGTAGTAGTAGTAGCGTTAGTAGTAGTAGTGGGCCTCCCTCCGGTGGTGTATAGTAATAGTGGCACGCGCGTGAACACTCGACTCGACGTCTGTGCGCCGTGGAAAAATGCGGTGAACCGCCGCCCACCCCCCTACTACCGCCCGCGCTGTCTCGCCGCGCGCTACGAGGCATTCCTCAAGCAGCTCGCCCATTCAGGTGAGTGCCGAGAGATATTCCCCTTTTCTCAGCGATTTCTCTCGCCGGCGAAACGCCGCGATAATTGCCGCTGCCGGCCGAGCGTAAGGGCGCGCGAAGACGCGTTTCGCGATAGATGTGCGCGACTCCTCCTCGCGACGCCGTTGAATCCCTGCGCTGGCAAGTCTCGGGTTACGGTTCGCGTTAATTCGGATGAATAATTATTAAACTGCAACACGAGTACTCATATTTGTTGATATATAAAATACGGTGTAACGCCATACACCGTTGATGAGCGGCTATTGGCAGTCGCGTCGCGCGAGCTTCGCTCATGAGCGAGCGAGCGACACTGCCTCGAAAGCGAGACACCACGCGTGACCAATTAATTTTCGGGGCGAAGGCAACTACGGTTATATATCGACGCGAGAACATTACCGCATTGATAGACCGCACATAAAAATAGATATAAAAATACCGGCACTTGAATGCTTAGCGGAGACGGTGTAACGATCGACTTTGGCGAGGCGTGATCGTCAATTCAGGTCGTTGCGCGAGTATAGTATTTTTAACGGCGGTACAATGAACTCGCTCGGGTACATAATGCACGAGGACCACGATCAAAAGCCGGCTCTCTTTGTACGAAAGTACAAAACGCGCGTGCTACTTTCCAACACACTCGAAGGTGGTCTGTTCTCAACATCGCGAAATCCGATTACCGTCCGAAGCCGAGAGATCGATCAAGAGCCGACGATCTGAGATTTCGACTTCGCGCGTAAACATCAGAAGAAGCGATTGTACCAGGAATTCATCGGTCGTTATTCTCTTTCGACACCCGCCTGTAACGTATTATCGTGGGTGTAATCGTAACATCAATCGATCCACCTATTTGGGCTTTATTTAACGCCAATTTTCTGCAATACACGCTCCAGATATGCTCCGCAACAAAAGAGACGTGTATCTGTATGGAACCGTAATAATTGATCGCGACTGTCTCGGACGAGTATAGAACGTAACATTTGATATTCCAGCGAGCAGGTGCTTACGCCGCCGTTATCGCGTAATGTTATCGTCACTCCTGAATACGGGATCTTTCGTCGCTGTTATCTCTTAACAGCGGATTTCGTTTTCACGTACGCGCGATTTTGCTCTCCTCTCGAAATATCAATTTATTACTAACGCGCTATTATTACATCCCGCAATTGTTGCTTCAGAGTTATATATCTTACTTGCGGCGCATATATATTTAAATAACATGCGCTCGCGTCGTTTCTAAAAAAAATTGCATATCGCGCGAATGCAAAAGGTGAGACGAAGTTCCCGGGCCGGCACGTATCTATCTTTATCCGTTTTATTTCGATCTCGTTGTACGATGGATCTTCGGTTAAAGGTTAAAGCTATCTTCGCTTAATGCTTATGCATTATTACCCAGTGTCGAAGTTTAAGATTACGTTTCCATATATCGCGAACTTGCGAACGTCGGATCCAGTTTGCAGCTATCTAAACGTGATTTCATCCCGAATACTGTGTTTATTTCTGACGTTGGTGGAAATTGACTAAATCACTTCTTTTCAAATTGATACAAGTCCAAAAGCTCAAATGTCGCGTTACTAACAATAGGGAGAACGCGCCGTTGTTTTCCAATCGTTTTCCGATAGAATAATATCCGGATGAAAGAAGTAATTTTTACTTCTGCAAAAATGCAATGCCCCGTACGTATCTATAATCGCGGTTTGTACATTTGATTCGCGGCCGGCTTCTTTCTCGTCGAGGCCCGCGATCTTACGGCGCGCTTACTATTCTTATTCCGGCGCCAACGCCGTCCCCGTACGAACACCATGAACTACGGCGGAAAGATTAAAGGAGAGAGTACACGTACGTACGTACGTACGCGGTACAAATAACTGATCGCCGGCGGAGTATTTACGTTTCCGCACCTAATTATGCTTCTCGTCTGCCTTGAGCGGTAGCTTACGAATATCCAAGGTATTAGCAAAGATTACGGAGGAGAGGAACGAGTTTGATCCGCGAAAGTACGCACGGTACACTCGTCTAGCCGCGCGCGCACAGCCGAACAAAGTACCAGGTGTACCGAGAATCCACCGGCAATAAGTTACGGAACTTTACTTCTCTGATCCCTCCCGGCGGTTTTCCACGGATACGGATATTTCAGTACTTGTCTAACCTCCTTCACTTCAAATGAAGCAACGTCATTCTCTTTTTCGAACGTAGCGGTTTCCTTTCTTCCCCTCCTCTTCCTCTCTCTCTCTCTCTCTCTCTCTTTCATTCTTTCTCGTCTGTTCTCCCTCTCTCGCTAACTCCGAGCCGAACGACATGTACGCGAGGAAAGAAGCCATTCGATGCATCATCGTGGCCCGTTCCCCTCGATTATCCAGTTATCGAGACAAATCCCAGCTGATGCTCATCCTTGAATTTTTATCCGCGAGATAATGACGAAAGTTAAACTACATGAAAACACACTCTCAAAGCGTATATTCGGGAAATTAGGGGGATTTTTTTTTTTAAGACCGGAAAGAAAATAACCGCGGTAACGAGCACTGAAGTTGGCGCATCTGCGTGAAAAATGTATTAAGGCCCCGTTTATCTCGCGCGCTCGCCCGCTCGTTTCATAATTATCATATTTATTGTCGGCAGCAATGTTCAGCGCTAATTGCCGAGCGAGCGTTTGAGATTTCGCTACGGGAAAATGCGATTCGATTAACCGGTACAGTTATTATCTCCCGCGACCGGATAATACGTTCGATTGACATGCGCAAGCGTTCGTTTAATTGCAAAAAAAGAAAGAAAGAAAGGAGGGAAGGATGAATGAAAAAAATAAAAAAAGAACAGTCGTACGAAGTAATTATTCGAGAGGAAACGAATCGACGGACGTCCTTTTCGCGTTTGTGCCATTTCGCTGTGCTCGGATTCGCGTGTGCAGGCAATATTTCCTCCTGTGTCATCGACGAAGCTGATATCGATCGCGGGTCCCACCTGCGCGTCCAATCCTTCAGTGATCATTCGCGGATACTCGGCGGAGTAAATAAAGGACGGCTTACAATTTAGAGGCAATCCCTTTCCTCTCGAGCGCCGAATCTTTCCGCGATGAATATTCTTGAAACTCGACTACCACGACGACGGGTGCGACGACCTTACCGTTACCGTCGGGAACGGCCAGACACCAGCGATTATTTCAACACCGTCCTTCTCGTATTTCGTTCCGTACCTTTAACAACTGCACTGCGTATTACCGGTATAAGTTTCGCCACTACGGTGTAACTATCGATGCAATGTTACACTCACCCATATGGCCGCTCGGGTAGTTTTGGCTCGCTCATCAATTCTCCGCACGTAACCCGAAATTCCAATAATTTCAATTAGACAGATAATTTTCGAAAATTACTGGTATTCCGGACAATTTGAACCTAATAGCGAGATTCTTGAATTATACAAAGTCTGTTGAGTAAAATATCGCTGTATTTTGCATCGAGCACGACCGACACGGGCGCACAATATTCACGGTCGAGACGAGGAGATTTAAATAGTTCAAAGTCCCCTTTCTCGCGGGGATATTGTTTTTGCCCAAATGAATAAGATGTCGTCTCGAACAATAGCTCCTCCCCTCTCGCACGCTTGTATTTTTAATCCTTCTATTTTCCTTTCCTTCTCCTTTTTCATATTATTCTATCATTAGCACTCCGTTCCCGTTTGAAGGGCTGGAATCTCGTTAAACGTCACACGGGTTAGTGACACGTGCGCGCAGTCTCTCGTACGCTTTACGCGCTAACTTTGCTACTACGTACTCTCTCTCTCTCTTCCTCTCTCTCCGATGACATTAATCTCATCGATGCGGCGGTGGTTATATCCGGTGATTACGATCGATGAACATATTCGTCACGGCGGCTTAAGTGCACGCGGTGTCAGTTAGTCGTCATTAAATTCTCGCTTTAAACTCACCTCGCCCGGTGCGTATCGCCGTTTCGTTCCCACGTGATATATCGATTAATTCGTATTTATAGCGATTATTTATAGCAGTTTATATTTAACCGTAACGTCGCGCGTCACTTTCTCCGTTTCCGTCCGCAATGTCGGCGACGCAGTGGAAAAAGACACGACCGGACGGACACTCCGTGATGTACACTTGGGGCTTGTACGCGCGAGGCTCGCACGAAGAGCGTGACCGCGTATCGCTCGAATAAAATCAAAGCGACGAGAGAAGCGCGGATATGAAAACATCAGGAAAATATTTCGGCCGCGCGCAACGATTTCAGTTACGAACGGCCGAGCTAGCCGTCGCTAGATTGCCGGGTCAACTGTCGCGTTTCAGACACATGAAGAGGAATTTTATGAAGCGGAGGAAGAGCGGGAGGGGACTAGCTGGTCTAGCGTGCGTAGTTCGGGATGTAATCGTTAACGGCGTTTTACGGCGCTTAACAAACGCCGGAAGCGGTGAAACTGCGCGAGAGGTACGGGCGCGACATTAATCTCATCGACAGGACGTTGAGGGTGATTATGGACGGTGCGCACAGGGTGGCAACGTTGCCGAAGGGAGGCGGACGATAGCGTTTGCGGGAGGGACCGCGTTCAACGGAGGGAACGAACCGCGCAGTGGAATCCCGCGCGTGTGTGTCAGGGGTGAGAGAGAGAGAGAGGAAAATGCGGAGGGAATATGCGAACGAATACGTGTGCGTACCGCGCGCCGTCAGTCCTCGCACGCGCGCTCCCGGCGCACCGCAAACAGTTTCGGGAATTCCTAGCATGTGTTGCGAACGCGCTGATATGATTTAGGAATCGCTTCCCGCATGGGCCATCCAGGAGCCGGGATTTGCCTGCCACGCGGGAACGTCCTCCGAAACGGCGGCGTCGTCATAGTACCGCGTTCCGATGGCGTTACTCCGTGGCACGATAGCGCTCGGCCAAGATTTACCGAGCTTACGTGACCTTCCGTCCGCGAAATTAGGCCGATTCATCATACCCCGGCTGAATGCTTAGAGGGAGAGCGCGGTTGCTCTATTCAGAGAGCT